CACAACCAGCCTGAGGCCGCGTCCCTCCCTGGGTCCCGCCGGGGCCCCTGAGCCCAGAGGGGCAAGCTTGAAACACCGAGAGGCACCCAGGACTTGGAGGCAGAAAGCAAACTTTATTTGTACCCATGGGCCTGGTCGGGATAGTACCTCAAAGAACCAGACAGGCTGTCTTTTGTTCCTCTACAGTTTATATAAGATTTGCAAGCAAGAACTTGCACGGAAGAGCAATCGGTTGATTGGTTATGTATGATACCATTATTACTGATTGGTCTAATAGCAAGTTGAAACTCAGGTCAGAAAACATTAGTTCAGGGCACAGTGAGCTAGATAAGTGTGACATATTTGGAATTAATGTCAGTTCAGGGCGGGGTCTGCCAAGAAGGAATACATAAGGAAGACGCATACTTGGAGTGGGTGGGCATCGGCTCAGGGCAGGGTCGGCAGAGAAGGAATTTGCTTGGGCAAAAAGAAAAATAAAACTGTTCGCAGCCAACGTTATCCTGGACTGGACTGGTGTCCCACCTGTCTGTCAGCCACTTTATTTTTGTCTCAAGAGCAGTGGGGTCCGACTTGCGGTTCAGCGGTGTCTCTTTTTATCTGGCTCGAGGGCCTGTGCCCACCGTCTTATCCAGGGCAGGCCCGATGGCGGGTGCTCGCTCTTGGGTGTAACCAATCAGCTACTCAGGGAGATTTGCTGATCCCTGTTCCTCACCGCTGCCTGGGGAGGAGAACCACTATTTACTCCATCCATGAAGATCCATTGAGAAGGTTAATGTCCAGGAATTGCTGAAAGAAACTAGACTTAGGGATTTTATAGGAAATAAACAAGTACCCAGAAAGGCAGAGGTGGCTGGTCCTTACCATGTACCACGAGAAAGTTCCTTGGCCTTTGCCTTCAGATTCTGGCTCAGGAGCTCACTACAACTTTTTTTTTTTTTTTTTTTTTTTTTTTAGTGTAGTTGAGGCCGACTTTCAACTCACTGTGTAGCCCAAACTGGCTTCAGAGGGGTGGTGATCTTCCTGCCTCAGCCTCCGGAGTACTGGGATTACAGGCATGCAGTTTCACTAAGATACACCTCTGGAGGGAAGTCACTTCATCATAGTTGAGTTCTCTCACCAATAAAATGAGATAGTTAAATACATATAACTCACAGGGAGCAGCTCCTGGAATATACCACATTGTGTCTGGCCTACAAAAGGTTTTTCAGTGCCAGACCCACTGGTAACTAGTTAAAAACAGATCCAAGGGAGAGCGTGTTGCTGCCAGAAAGTCTGATACATGCCCGGCTGACAGACTTCAAGCCTGTAATCTCAGCACTCAAGAGGCTGAGGCAGGAAGACCACAGCAAGTTCGAGGCTACCATGGGTTACAGTTGAAGGTCAGCTTGAACTACATAGTGAGACTGACTGTCTCAAAAAACAAAGTAAACTGCCAGGCATGGTGGTACACATATGTAATCCCAGCACTCAGGAGGCTGAGGCAGGAGGATCACTGTGAGTTCGAGACCAGCCTGGGCTACATAGTGAGTTCCAGGTCAGACTCAAATACATAGTGAGACCCTGTCTCAAAAAAAAAAAAGGTCTTACAATATAAAGTCTCCTGTCAGACCTCTCCGTGTGTGTGGCCTAGTTGTTGAGCATCACTGTTCCCTTTCAGTGCCACTGCCTGCCTCCCAAGCGCAAGGTCCTGAGTCTGATCCCCAGTACCCCCCCAAAAAAAGTGTGGTGCCAGTGCTGAGTTTTTAGCTCAAAGGTTATCCCTTACTTAGCTTGTGCAAGGTCCAGGGTTGGAGCCTCAGCATACAAACACACACAAAATATAGTAATGATATAAGATAAACCAAAAGCTCTCCTAACTCCTACTTACATCACTGCTTTTTCCCAGGTATTAATAAAGAGATTTTCCTTATCACTTTATTAAATAGCACATAGTATATATGTCTTTGATTTTTGCTTTATTCAATTCATTGTAGCAATTCCTCCAAATCTTAACTTTCTTTTGGCTTTTTGAGAGGTCTCACTACATAGTTCAGGCTGACCTTGAACTCAAAGTAATCCTCCTGCCTCAGCCTCCAGTGCTGGAATTACATGCATGCCACCACCATGCCAGACCTAAGTCATAACTCTTAAATTGTTAAAGAAAATATTGCTGGGTATGCTAGTGTGTATTGGTAATCCCAGTACTTGGGAGGCTGAAGCAAGAAGATGGCAAATTTAGGGCCATCCTGGTTACTTGGAGCAACTACATCTCAAGTAAAAAGAAAGAAAGAAAAAGAAAACTTGGATACTTGTTGAAGCATGGTGAGGAAGACCAGATCACTGTGAAAGGTGTAGGAGCTGTAGGGACAGGAGGCACTGGGTATAGGGAAGACCTGGGATGAAGGCTTCATTGAGCTTCATTAAAAATTAACAAGACAGTTTTGTCCTCTGTAACAGAGCTGGACTCCAGCAATTAGAAAGGCAAAGGCAGCTAAACTCAAGCGATTAGGAAGACAAAGATAACCCAAGACCAGGGGCTGGAGATTTAGCTCAGAGGTTCCGCTGCCTGCCTCCCAGACACAGGGTCCTGAGTTCGATCCCCCATACATTGCATAGCGGTATTGCATGACATGGTGTAGAGTCCATTTCTGATGCCACAGAGCCACTGCGATGGGCCCTGTGGAGAGGGAGGCCACTGAGCCCACCGCTGCGCACAGCACACATCTGGGAATCCAGGTACAGGGCAGGCAGCAGTGGAGGGAGGGCATTCTGGTGAAACCCACCAGACAGGATTCTTGCTGAAATCTGGCCAGGGCCATCAGCCATCAGTGGGGTGGTAGAAGACAAGGAATCTGATCAGATAACAAAAGTACACGGTTCTTGCTAAACTGACTGAGTAGGGCCCTTTGCTAAAAGTGGATTTTACAAGGAAGAATAGATGGTGTAAGAGCCTGACTGAACCAGAGCGACTCCATGTTGACCAGCAAACTACCTAGAGACTGTTGCTACCCCCATCCCTTATAGGATAACTAATGATTAATTGTGAATTGTTAGGTAACTGCTTTGAAGTAGCTGGGAGGCTGGGTGGAGACTATAGTGAACACAGAGACACAACATGGATTGCGTCACTCCTTGCATGCCTGTAATCTGAATGTTCTGAACATTATAATCTAACTTGTAAATGGAACAATGGATGAGCAATCTGATGATCATTAGTACGTGACGGTCAAGTATATGCCTGATGACCACTAGGTCAGAACAACTGATTCTTTGCCTTTGTCCTCTTCCTGTAAGTTTTAAGTGTAAATCCCCCTTCAGCCCTATATAAAGTGGCCTCTCTTTCTGAGCTAGCTGCCTCTCTGAGCTACTTGGCTTGGGGAGTGCCGTCTGGCCAGACTAATAAAGGTCTATTTGCCAACTTGCCTGGTGTGTTCCTTCCTGGGTGACTCTCGCTGTCCGATGAGCTCCTGGAGCCTCGCTGAGCTTCTGAGCCCAGCATCGTGAAAGCCTCTTGGCTCTTCACACTCCAGGAGTAAAAGTGAGACTTAAATCTTACAATGGGTCCTGGAGGAGGCACAACAGACTGACTGACCAAGCACAGACCCACTGTCAAAGTCATTTTTAATAATTATTCAACATTCATCTTTGCCACTGCTGCCACCGTGAACCAGTTCCACATGCTAGAGTCGGAGAGGGCTGCTTCAGGTGGAAAGGGAACTTTAACTGACAGCCGTGGCCAGATTACTTTCTTCCGAGGCTGTAAGGAGTGAGTTTCCATTAACACCAAGAAGGTTTCCCTAGTGTGTTGGGGGGAGGTTTTCCTTTCCTCATCCATCTAAGTAAAGTGACCTCATTGTGTGTTTTTGAATTATCAAGGGGAGATAGTGTTTTGTGAGTTGAATTTCCAAGTGGGAAACAAAATCGAAGGCCAATGTGAAAAACAAGAATAGAAGGTGTAGAAGCCTGGGCAGCCACTCAAGTGCTGAGAACTCCAGAATTTTGTTTTGTTTTGTTTTGTTTTGGTACCGGGGACCAAACTTGCGACCTTGCTCTTATGAGGCAGGCAGTGGAACCACAGAGCTAAATCACCAGCCCTGGATTGTTTTGTTTGTTGAGGTTGCTGTTCCATTTGGGTTGGTCCAGGAAGATAAGCTTTACTGCTGGAGTTTTTTCTT